TGTGCGACTAGCAAGGGACTGGCCTGGACAAGAAGGTAAAGAACACTGGTGCCTGACATGCTATGGTTTTAAACACATTCTCTCATTTAATTTGTTACCACATCTCTACAAGAGACACAGGGTAGTTTTCCCATATATTTTTTTTTTGGTGGGAGGGAGTAACGGACTCATCTCAGGACAACAATTTAAGGGAAGGCTTACTATTAATGGTTGAAGGAATCAACTTCTGTGGTGAACTGTGCCTTACCATGCAGGGTCCTCTAATATCCTTTTGTATCACTAAAAAGTTAGCATTGGATTCCTGTGTTGAGGATTGTTGAAGGGTTCTGGAGGGGAGTGACAAGAAGGCAGAAAAGACATCACCCCTTCTCCAGTCTGTAGACAGTTGCTTGAAGTGTTTTTCACCTGGACATTGGAGTCACTGACTTAGTTTTCAGAATTCTATTTTGCCATATTTTCCAGTGAAAGGAAGGTTAAAATTGTAAATGCATTTCATTCTCTGGTGGCTTCCTTCTGCTTTCTCATTCTCATATGACAATATTTGGGTCCTACCTTGCCTTAATTCTCTTTAGTCCATAGAGTTTAGCTTTCTTAACTTACAGTTCAAGTATGAATTGCTCTGCACTAATTTCCAGAAGCCTAAGAAGTTCCTTGCAGTCCACCACACCTGACACTTTTATCATAAGAGAGATTATGAACTGTGATAGAAAAACATGTACTGCCTATTGGAAGGAACTTTCTTTTTACCCCAGTCCTCTCCAGCAGGGCACATAAACAAATCACATGTAGCATACCTATTTTTCATACTGTGAAAACACATCTGAACTATTTGGACTAACTTTATGCAAGGCAAGTGCCAAGATGTTATTTTTCTTTTTACTAAAAAAAGAGGAAATGGAAAACATACTACCTCTAGAGGGCCCTGATGATGAATTCAATACTGCATTGATATCAGTGCTGTATTTATAGATCCACATTTCCTTCCACACATCACCATCTTTGGTACATAGGAGTTGGAAATTTGACAAGTGAGAGGATTGCTTCTGCATAGAGAAGCTTGTCTTGTTTAGAAGAGATGTGAATCATTACGCTCGGTGGTCAGCTCCTCATTATACTTCCCTGTCTGACAGATTTCCTTTTCAAACTTTCATTTCCCACCTTCCTCCTCCCTCCCCCTTTTTATATAATTTCATGTCACTCTTTCAGTTAATGTCACAAGTGTCTTCTAGCAACTAAAACCCAGAAATGATGTACCAGAAAACAATTTTCATGAACTTAAACATTGCATGAGATACAGGATAACTTCATGTTGGTTTAACCATATCCTCTAATTTGAAGTAGGGTGAGATACTTCTGTGGTTAAGTCATAGCTCTTGTACTGTTTGCTATAAAATTTTCAAGAATATATATTTCAGAAACATTTAAAAATAATCCAAAACAAACGCAACAGAGCTCAGCATACTTGGAGCATGTTTTCCAAATTTTTCTTAAATCTCTGCGTGCCAGAGGGTTTCTGTGTGTGCATGGATTGGGCCTGGGCAGTTATTTCTCCTTCTATCTCTACCCTGGATGGATTGCGTGGAGCAGCACAGAATGATATACATATGGTCTCATTTTGTCTCAGTTTGTAGGACCTCTGGTTTGGAACTCCATTTGATCAGAGTGAAGCCAACCGTCACAGAAAATTGGCTAATATAAAAATCCTAAATATATACATGTATACACATATCCGGTCAGAATGCATTTTATTCTTGTTTGAACTAGTGGTGTTTTGCCATGCGTTGGTTGATAGTTCTTGTTCCTAAAATATCGATGACATTTTAAATATAAAAAAATGGAAACTACAACCCACCTACCTATGTTGATACTGCTGCTCTGGTTAAGCATTATGTTAGACATGCGGTCCAAAACCAGTGTTGAAAACGGTTCCAAATTAAAATGATGAGTGTATCAAACATCTTTCTAAAACTGAGACAAAGACAGAAATGTGCAGATGATCTTAACTGGAAGCTAAGTTGAAGAGGAAGCCCGTTGTGAGTGTGATACAGTGGCTGCGCATTGCTCTCACTGTGGATGACTTTAGAAAGAAAGCTGTCTTAGTTTGGCTGTTGTCCTTGCTCCTCCTAGGTGAGTGACAGTGGTCCTTCTGGTGGTGTTCGGGTAGCTTTGGTTGCTTGGTAAGCAAAGTTGCCCAGGGCATGGCTCTCCTCATGGGAGTGCTTTCTCCCTGTTTCGTTCTTTCTCATTTCTTTTATCTTGTTGCCCTTTTTTATTTTTTCATACCTCCCTCTTCCCCTCCCCCACCGCTCTTCCCTTCTCTGTCTGTGCAACCACGTGCTCCAAGTCTATGTATCTGGCCTGCCTCACTCATGGTTCCCTGTGAGTGTTAGCAGAATGAAAGCCAGATGGACCAGCAGTTCCCACTGTTATCTCCCAGCAGACTCTGGCAAGCCTCCCTCCCTCCCTCCTTTCTTGGCATGACAGAAGTATTTGCCTTTATTTAGGGAGACTGTATTTGCTGCTGTACCTCTTCCCTCAGCTGCAACATAAGCGGAAAGCTATTTATTCCCTTCCTGCTGAGGTTGGTTGAGGTGAGTAGAATGTGCAATGAATTTATTGAAGAAGCACTTTGAAGCCTGTCTAACTTCTGTACTTTTCTAAAATAAGTGACTTACTGTTGCTGGTTGCTAAATGCTCTGGGATAGCAGTATAAAGACACGTTTTTAACAATAAGATAAAGTGTGTAGAAAGTTGTGTTTGTGTCACTGCCATCATTTGACTTGGGTCACTTTTATTGACCTGGGATGTTCCTTGTTATCCAGCCAACAGCAGAGATGAAGAAACAGAGCTTGACACCGCTGACTAGATTATCAGGCAAAATGCACTCATTGCATTGATGATTGTTATTATCCTTGTATTACATTGGTACTATTTCAACTTTTAAAATGTTCTCTTTTATTGAAATGTTCGTCTTAAGAAAATTCGGTATTCTTCAGACAGAACCTCACTAGGTAGCCCTTGACAGCCTGGAACTTTCTGTGTGGATCGGACTGGCTTCAGATTTAAAGCAATCCTCCTGCCTCTGCCTCCCAAGTGCTGATGTGTAGCACCATACTTGTTTTTGTTTGAGATGGAATCTCTTGTATTTCAGGCTGACCTTGGACTCACTTTGTAGCTAAGGATGACCTTGAACTCCAGATCCTCCTTCCTTCACCTCCCAAAAGCTGTGATTATAGACATGTGCCACTGAATTTTCCATAGGAAATTGCTTAGAAGAAAGATGAATTAAGTCTCTGGGGGTGCTGAGAGTAGTAAGTTGAGGTTTACATTTTCTTTTAATAATTGACTTTGAGAAAAGTATTTATTGTTTTATTTTATGTATGTGTATGTGTGTGTGCATGCCTGAGTGTTATGTATAGGCAACATGTATGTGCAAGAACACATGAATGTCAGAAGAGGCCATTAGAGTCCATGGAACTGGAGTTAAGATGGTTGTGAGCCACCATGTCAGTGCTGGGAACTGAACCTGGGTCTTCTGGAAGACCAAGTGCTCTTAACCAGTGAGCCATCTCTTCAGGCCCATTAATAATTAATAATTGAGAATTTCTTACTACGTTTTTCATGATAGCTTGAAAATCTTCTGAATAGTTTATATTTTACTTTTTTTTTTTTTAAAGTGTAAGTTAAACTGTGCGTGGTGGCACACGACTTTTATCCCAGCACTCAGGAGGCAGAGGCAGGCAGATCTCTGTGAGATTGAGGCCGGTCTTGTCTACATAATGAGTTCCAGGCCAGCTGAGGCTACAGGGAGACTCCGTCTCAAAAAGACCAAAAGAAAAGTATAAGTTAAAACTTTTGTGTGTAAAAATGTAGAAGTACCTCACAGTATTTTGAAGTACCTGTCATGTGTTTGTTTAAAATTGGATCTAAAGAAACAAACACACCACCATTTCATTTTTATGAGAGATCCATTGCTTTGAAAAATAGACTAGACTGAGAAAAATAGTTGGAAGCGTCAGGGGAAAATATGTGTAGAAGCTCAGTGTAGTTGGTCACACCTGTCGTCCCAGAACCTAGGAAGCTGAGACAGGAGATTGATGCAAGGTTGAGGTCAGGCTGGCCTACATGGTGAGTTCCAGGTCACTCTGGCTATAGAGTGAAATCCTGTCTCAGAAGAAAAACCAAATGAAAAGCATACTTAGGAGAAAGCAGACAGTTCTGGCTTATAAATGTCTGTCGTTGGGCAATAGGCTTCTCTTTGTTCATCCTTTAGGTTTTTTTTTGTTTTCATTTTGGAGATTTCAAGTTTTGACTCTGGGGCTTTCAGATTTTGACTATGAGATTATTAACTGGAGCTGGAGTATTGTTCTCTAATGTTGATAATAGGATGAGCCATAAATTCATACATTCTGCATAAAGAATAGTTTTACTTTACTGTGAAACATAGCATTTATGTATTCTTAAAGTAGGGCAGATCAAATTGAAGGTTGGGAGATGTAATTTGTTTCATTTAATAAATTGGAAAACTAAGCAAGGAGGGGATGGGATATGTTGCTGAAATTCACTACAAAGGGGCCATTTCTGCCAGTATCTCACCTGCATTGCTGACTTGGGATTTCTGTTGTTTCTGGGCTGTCAGTAGGGCCTCATTATCATCCATTTTCCTCATCTCTTTTCTTTTTGGTAATGTTGGCTTCAGCTCCAAGTGAAGTTGTGCTGGTGCATATAACACTTTGAAGGTAACATCTGGCCAACTCAGAAGTAACAATAGGATGTTCTATAGCCTTGTTATAAATGAGGACCTATCCTCTGTGCTTCACCTTCTTAAGTGGGGTTTGGATACTAAAATCCTGCTTTAAACATCCAGAGATTTTGTTTTATTTTATGGAAAGAACATGTTGAATTTCTTCTGCTTTCATGCTTTTGAAAAAGATAGACCACACTTGAGAAACCAGGGTGCTCAGGGAATGAAATAACGTGTTCCTGGTGGCGTCCTCCAGATCGTACTGAGAAGGTTTCCACAATGCCAGACTCACCTGTGGATGTGAAGACGCAATCCAGGCTGACTCCTCCGACGATGCCGCCTCCCCCAACTACTCAAGGAGCTCCAAGAACTAGCTCGTTTACACCGACTACATGTAAGTACTCAGCTCTGGATTTAGGGTATCAGTTTTCAAGTTTAAATTAAAAATTTTTTTTTTGCACACACAAAAAAAATCAAGGGAGAGTAAGCTCCAGCATCAATGCTTCATGCAGAATAAAGGACAAAAAACCCAAAAGTTTGCCAGTGGGTAATGGTTATTGAACCCAAACCAATGTGTCATGATTTAGGTATAATTAATGACAGTAGATATTTGTCTGCTTTTAAAAAATATTTTTACGTGTTTAAAAAATTTTATGTGTTTGAGTGTATGGCCTGCACATATGTAAGTGTACCCATGTCATGGAATGCCCGTGGAGATCAGAAGAATGCATCAGATCCCCTGGAACTGGAGTTAAGAATGATTGTTAGCCGCCTTGTGAAACCTGGGAGCTGAACTTGGGTCCTCTGCAAGAGCAGCTAGTGTCTTAACCACTGAGCCATCACTCGAGCCCTTGTCTGCTTTTTTATTATTACTTTATCGTTGTAGTCTATGATTTGAACAAGTGAAGAATGTTGCATTTGGTCTCTTATCCTAGGTACTCTTAGGACTTAATTCTTTTTATTTTGGTTGTTCATTTCCACTTGGAACATGGAGATATGCTATGCTTATTTCTAGTTACTTCTAGGTTCTAGGTTACTTTCTTCTATTTCAAATATTTACACACACACACACACACACACACACACACACACACACACACATTAAAACCTTACTTTCTGAAGTTCAAGAGGCCTTTGTTGTATGCAGCAGTTACCTATAGAAATGTTTTTGAAATCAGCAACATCATCCTTGTCACAAACCTGCCAGGCTTTAATAAAACTCTACTCTGTTTGCACCTGGCTGAGGTCCCGGGTTCTGAAACAGTGGAATATATATCTTCCTAGCATCCAAAGAAAGGCTAGAACATTCTGAGAACCGAGCAACTTCTTTTCTGTGTATTCTAGCAAGAGCACTCTATAGGGCGGTTTTAATCAGTCTCACAGTTCTGGTTAAACTTGTCATCAAAGCTTTGTGAAGTTAAATGTTTATCTGTTATAAATGGTGCTATTTACAGACCATGTGCCATGAAATTCATATGAATAAAAATATTTAAGCAGCAGAAAATAGATCCATGGGCCTACAAAAATACACATCCTAGGCATTCATGCAGAGCTGCTCTGCCATTTAAAAGACTTTTCTGAATATGTAGGGGGCAGAAGGCTGTGACATGCCAAGCTGTAACCCCATCATCTTAATTTGGTTTCTTATCCATCCAAAGTCATAGCAATAGGCCTATGTCTCCTGTGACAAGACCCAGTGAGGTAGCATTGATAGTTACTCCATCCCTCCTCTGGGATAAAGTAATCTTAAGGTTTTGGGTTTGCCTTTGTTTTGAGGATCTCACTATATAGCCAAGAATTGGCCTCGAATTTGCTATGCAGTCAAAGATGACCTTGAATTCCTGATCCTGCTGCTGCCACCTCCCAAGTACTGGGTTATAGACAGGTGCTACCGTACCCTGCTTCTCTCCTAGTTCTTATGGATGATCTTCTTGGTGCTCAAATAAATTTTATTAGAAAGGAATTTACTGAATTACTACCAACCCATGCTCTGGATTAGGTTGAATTGTCTCCTTTCTTTCAGTTTCTTGAAATAGCTCCTTGATACACACAAATCCATTTTGTCTTATGTAAAATTTGTTTCTTCCCGAAATAAGTGGTTAAGAAATAGGAAAGGGAGAAAATAGCCTTCTAATTGGGTGGTATAAGGTTAAAACTTGAAAGTCCTCTTCCTATAAACACAGCTGTCAGTTTTGTGTACAAAACATGATTAAAAATGTTCAGTGATAAATTTAGTCTCCACCAAATGTACACTTTCTCTAGAGGAGCAGTTTAGGAAGAAATAGTCCTGTTATACTGATGTAAGCCTGTGACAAATGCTGACATCCAAAGCTGTTTGTTCTATGTTTGAAACATTTCAGGTGGTTGGCATATGTGCACACGGGAGGCAGGGCTGGCTCTGTGGGGCAGCAGACTTCGTTTATTCAACTTCTGTATAGCATGTTGCCCCTCAGTGTGAGGAGGAGACCCTGTGGGTGACAGAGTACTTTATTCTGGTGATCCTGTCAAGTCCAAGCATTTATCAGAATGTCCCAACAGTATTGAAATTGCACAACCACTAGATTTCAAGGGTACTTAGTGGTAATTTCCATATATATTCTCTCTGTAAATTTATTTATTTTTTTCCCTTTGATTTTGTGCCTTTGACAGTAACAAATGGCACGAGCCATTCACCTACAGCCTTGAATGGCGCCCCATCACCGCCCAATGGCTTTAGCAATGGGCCTTCCTCTTCCTCTTCCTCTTCTCTGGCTAATCAACAACTGCCCCCAGCCTGTGGTGCCAGGCAACTCAGCAAGTTGAAACGGTTTCTTACTACCCTGCAACAGTTTGGCAATGACATTTCACCAGAGATTGGAGAAAGAGTCCGCACCCTCGTACTAGGACTGGTGGTAAGCAGACAGAAATCCACTCAGCTTTCTTGAATAAGTGTGTGTGTGTGTGTGCGTGTGTGTAGAAATGTAGACATCCCCTCCAAAACCTGACAGCAATTTTGCAATAATTTTTACAACTATAAGTTGCATGTCTGTTTAATTCTATAGTAATGTATTTTCCAGTTCTGCATTATGAACTTATGTGCCTGTGTGTTTGTGTGTGTGTTTATGTGCCCATGTAGTGTATGTAGATGTGTATAGTTATGTATATATACACATGTTTATGTATACACATGTATGTAGGTTTATTTCAGTAAGCATAGTCTTCTGGTGTTGTTAATGGCCTTCAACAATAACAGAGGTTTATGTTATGTTACTGAATCACTTAACTTAATTGGGTGCTCACTTCATTTGCTTTGGAAACTTTTACTATTGGCTCAGATGAACGAGAATTCATCTGCAGTTTCATTTGCTGGGCTAATAATGACATTAAAATTTCATTGTAAAGGATACATCAGATTTACTATATTAGCCATTTTTAACTGTACAACACATCAGCATTGCAGATTGCACGTGCGTAGCCGTCACCACCTACCGAGCTCCGTATGGAGATCCTGAGCTGCTTTTTTTTCTTTTGGTGGAACTGGGGATTGAACCCAGGGCCTCACCTATGCTAGGCAAGTGCTGTTGCATGGAGCTACATCTCCAGCTTTCTGGATTCTTTGCATTATGCCAATCTGAACCATATCCATTAGACAGTAATTTATCCTTTCTCCTTAACCTATAAAACCCCTCAGTAACAATTCATTAAATCTCACTATGTATCCCAGACTGGCCTCAAACATTGATTTAGTTCTGTAAGAACTCCTGGCTTTTTTTTTTTTTTTTTTTTGAATCTTAAACCAATTTTTTAACTGTAGGTAAAATTACTTAAATGATTAGTTTGGAAACAGAATTGTTAGTTCTGGCACATTATAGTGCATTCCATACATTATCAGACTGGAAAGAGAACACAGATCCTTTTTACCCCTCCCCTGCCCACCCTCAAGTCATTTTCATATTACTGTGATTTTTCAACACAAGTGGGGGATTCTCTAATACTTAGGATGGCTGTGTTCCCCAGTACTAAGTCATGGGGAGCAATGAGTCCCCCAAGCCAACCCTTCCCTCTAGGCCTACAGTGGAGGTGTGCCCTACAGATTTTCATTATGTGGAGCCATCACAGAAAAAGCAGGACCGGAAGATGAGCTGCCAGTCATAATCTACATTTAATAGATTTTGCAGTTTAAATTTGAGTTACAAACTCTCTCTCCTTCCACTTAAAGGAACAAGATTGTTTCCCAGTCTGCCAGCTCTCCTTTGTCCCCAGGACAGGGAGGTGATTTTGGCAGAGGTGTGTCACTGAGCTTTAGATATAAGTGTGGTCAATCACTTGCCTTTTCTTTTATATTTATTCTTGAGCTTTGTATAAGATATAACAGGCCTTTCAATGTATAGATAAGCTAGGGAAGCAAAGAGTAAATCTAAAGCAATAACTATATAACTATATCAAAGAATTATTAATTTAAAATAAACGTTTTGAGCTAAATATGGTGGTGTTCAACTGTAATCCCAACACTCAAAAGGCTGAGGCAGGGGAATCAAGAGTTAGGGGGCTAGTCTGGGCAGCAAGAAAGATCTTGTCCCCCTCCCCATTTAAAAAAAAAACCTTTGTAAATCTTAATATGTTCTTTATAAAACAGTGATTTCAAAACTGCAAAAAAAAATATGTGCTTTGGGGGCTGGAGAGATGACTCAGCAGTTAAGAACACTGGTTGTTCTTGCAGAAGACCCGGGTTTGAATCCCAGCACCCACATGGCAGCTAACAACGGTCCATAACTCCAGTTCCAGGGGATGCAACAGCCTCTTCTGACCTCCGCATGCATTGCACGACACGGGTGCACATACCTACACAGGCGCATACACATAAAATAAAAATAATAAATAAAATTTAGAAAAATATGTGCTTTATGTAATAGGAAGTAATTATTTGCTAAATGGGTGACTGAATAGGGAAAATATTTTTGTCTTTTTGTTTGTTTCTTTGAGATAAGCTTTCAGAATGTAGTCCAGGTTGACCTGGAACTCATTATATAGTTGAGGTTGGCCTTGAGTTTTTGATCTTCCTTCCTCAATATTCCAAGTACTAGGACTACAGGATCATAGGTGTGGGCCACCTTGTCCCCACCAAGACCCTACGACATTTTCTTTATGCATTTGCCCTCAGAACATTTTATTTAATTCTTGGGACTATCCTTTGAAGGAATGATTTTTGTATGTATTTTATACATTAAGAAATTGAATTATATAGGTGGTTACTAAAATAAATAACTGGTATTGGAAGAATTGTGATTTGAACTTGGGCATGAAATCATAAGGTAGGAATGCTGTTTTTTAGGTGGCATTAAGAACAGTGTTAGGAAGAGCTGTCAAAATGTTAGTTAAAAACATGGCGCCTTCACCTATATAGTTATAGATAAGAAGCTGGCATTTATTCATGGTTTTAGGTGAACATGTTTAAAATTGGAGGGTATAAAAACGTATAAAATTGGTCCCCTCATAGTTTGTCATAAAAGGAAATGGAAGGGCACAAAAGATAGGGGGGACAATATTTTAATGTTATTCAGTCACAAAGACCCAAGTCTTGCCTGTCAGAATAATTGAAGGTACCAAGGAAGTTGACACTGAAGTTAAGTTAGTGACTCTGCCTAGGGGCTAAGGAAAACGATTAAAATACAATTAGTTTATTCTGTGCCTTTACTGTAAGTTGGTTTTGTTAAGTAGGTAGGTGTGCTTGTCAACACTTTAGCCATTGTAGGATACAAATCCTGAGTCTCTGGGGCTTGCTTATTGATAATGGGGTAAGTAAGGAGTGTATTTGGGTTATTTTGTTCAGTTCCTTTTAGGTTAACCATGTATGTCTAAGACTCAGTGGCTTAGCACAGGCTCAGATCATTGCTTCAGCTTCATTAGCAGAGCAAAGTACCCAACATGGCTGCTCTGCCTGAGCAAAGACACTTTCGTAGACAATGAAGGCCACAAGTTGGAAATTCAGGACTAGAATATTTCCACTGACAGTTACACTGATGTGTGGGATGAATGAGAGACTCTTGACACTTGCCTTTGGCTCATGAAGAGATCTATGTTGTGTTTAAATACATCCATCCAAGTATGTTTGTTTTCCATACAGATAACTTTAGAAGAGTGTTCATAATTAGAAGGGCTTCTCTGAAAAGCTCTGCTCCTGTTCCTGACATTGTTCTCCAAGCACCCTGTTTAATTGGTTTTACTTTCAAATGCAAATTTTAGACGTGGAGATACAGTAAGCCATAGTACATG